ACGGTGCTCTCATCGTTGCTGCTCGTTTCATGCACATACAATGTCCGACACGTTCACTCGAGCCACTATTGCAAACAAAAAACAAATACAAAGCAAACGTACCGCACTACTCGTATCGAAATGCCTGTTAAACAAGGACAATCCGCTCCGCTGCTGACCTCACATCACGAAACATTTTTCATCGCTCGACGCATGTCGGTGTCATGTCGGCTTTATTTTACACTCACAAAAGCTTCTGCACCGTTTTGATGGACGCTCGACCTTTCTCTTCAATACTTTCCGCACGAAGATAAAAAGCGCCAAAAGTGGACTCCGTGAGCGCAGAAATAATAGAGACCATTAGTTATTCTGAAACTCCGTTCGCTCATGCAGTGTTTCTACACAAAAGAACGTCTTATGGCTTGTATTGAACTGTGATGAACGGCTGCTGTTGGCATAAGGTGATGCAGCTCGTGCATGTGGAGGGAATTTGTACGCTGGCGTGTATATGTGCGTTACAGATTGCGCTGAGAAAGTACAATCAGATGTGAGTAACTAAGTGCGATAAGGTGCAACAGTGGTGCAGACTAAGTGGGAGACCTCGGCAGAGGTATACCAGAGGTCGTTCGAGACCCAGTGTCATCCGTTAAGTGAAGCCTTCAGGCCTTGGTGTGATGGGGTTCACCAGCGTTGTCCTGTCAGACAGTGACGTACCCACTTCTCTGACCATTGTCCGATCCAAGACTTTGTGACACACATCAGAGAGAAAGGGAACTCGACAATGACCAATGATTGGTTAATAAAATAGATGGTCAGCGTGACCATAAATGATGATTGGTTCTTTAAATGGACGGTCAGCTAGGTAAAGATGTAAAGGAATTGATAGCAAGCGACGATGTAAGCGCACAGAAGATAAGAGATAACACACAATATTAAACCCACTTTTGATTTTGCTACTTCGCCCACAAGCATCATCTACTGAGCGCTCGCGTCAACCTAGGAGTTTAACAACCGCCAATTATGGGCGCGGCTGCTTAAGTATGTGGATGAGCAGAAGGAATCGGGGGACCCACTTAGCCACGGAATGCCGTATATCAAACACTTTTTTAACTACTACTTACAGAATTGGGGACATCTGCAACGCGAATTATCACCCACGTAAATGTATGGTTGCCCGTTTTCAAGGTTTTCCAGGCAAGGAGAAAACGCAACCTCTCTTACTGGTTTAGCATGTGAAGCTCACTTGTCGGACGTGAGGTTCTCGTCTCAATTTGATTTCTTGGAAGAAGGATCGCATTCATTCATTTGGATGTTTTGGCAGCCATTTTGAGAGAGAGATCGATAGACTAGTGTTTACATACGCTGCTCTGTTTTGGTTCGATGACCGTGACCCTCTGTGTGATGCCCAACGAAATCACTACACCGATGTAGCTGCTACGAAGTAAAAGCGGGTGTAGTAGTCACATGTGTTGATGAGAGAGGAACGGAATTGAGGTGGACTGCGAAAGGCTATCCGGATAATGCGGACATGCGTGCTAATGTCGTGTTGGTCCTTATGGACCAGCATGCTCACACACAGGGCTATAGCTACTACTGAAATCTGCACTCAGCCGATAAACGTATTACAGCCGTACCTTAGGTCCCGGAGGTTTCAGTCAAGTAGACAACGCTTCAGGAAATCTGTCATCGGTACAAGTCGAATAGTAGACGCTTTATGATTACCGTTCATGGTATAGGTCCCATAAATAGTGCAATGGAAAGTCTTGTGGAAATCAAAGCTTCTCAATTTTTCTGCGAGTGCGTAATGATTCGCTCACCATCGATTGATTTTTGCATCAATTGTAGTTGCAGGTATACTATCACTTCGCCGACTGGTGTTTAAAGTCGATAGTGTGCTATAAATTTCATGTCAACGAATCTCATTGATTCGCTGCACTCTCTCAACCAAGTCAAGCTCATCGCTCATTGCATAAGTACCATCGTATCGGTTACCCTGTCGTATACCATATGTAAGCACGTCGAACAAATGCGACGTTAATGTGTGCGTGGCCAAGCAGGTGGAGCGGTCTTATCGACGCCAATAGTCTCATTTGGACCGACGCAGCGTCATCCCGACGCGGATAGCCTCCCATCGGTCACGACATCGCCATAGCTTGGTTTGGATCAATACAAACTTCCCACCAGCCAGTCTCACGGTGCCACCATTCCAAAGATGGAAATCCCGTATGTATCGGACGTTATTCGCAGTGTAGTAGCGCCGCTGCTGTTTGATGCGCTTGCTGTATGTGTTGCTGGTGTCGAATGAGACCACTACTAAAGTCCGAACGCTCTCACGCACATGTGTACTGCTTGAAATACGGCTCACTCGGTCGTACCCTATACAATTCGTCTCCGCAATCGTAATGTCGCAGACTCGGTGAACGTCATAGTCGCCGTCTAAGGCGTTATGCCCAGAAGAATATGCAAGTGTAAAAGTCAGGAGAGCTTGAAGCATGATGATGAGGTTGCGGGTTACAGCAAAAGTGCACCGTCGGGGAATCGAACCCCAGACCTCATCCTTGAAGGGATGAATCCTAACCATTAGACCAACGGTGCTCTCATCGTTGCTGCTCGTTTCATGCACATACAATGCCCGACACGGTCACTCGAGCCACTATTGCAAAACAAAATACAAATACAAAGCAAACGTACCGCACTACTCGTATCGGATGCCTGTTAAACAAGGACAATCCGCTCCGCTGCTGACCCCACATCATGAAACATTTTTCATCGCTCGACGCATGTCTGTTAACATTAACTAGGTTGAGGAGCTGATGCTAAGAAGAAGATGGCTTACGGCCGGGGATGAAAACCGAAAAGTGAGTTGTATCCAAATTGTTCCTAGCTTCGAAAACGAATAGCTAGTAGTAGCCGGTGGCTCTCAGCCACCATATATCGTGCCCTGTCTCCACCGCTACCTGTTTTACCTATCACTGGGTAATCACGTCCTCGTAAATACCTTTCGTAAAAACTCTGCTGTGTCATATGCAGAATGAAAACGATTGCGTGGGTGGGGGACGTAACTGCGGGTGGGTCACAGTTCTGGTGAACCCCAAACACCAGGTCGTGAGTGTCAGTCACAATTTACTTGAACACGGCGGGGATCTAACCCGCACACACTGTGAATCCCTCTTCCTTAACGACTGGGCCAATCCGATACATCGTCACCGCTAACATCCCACAATATAAACCTGCCAAAGAACAATACAACTAATGCAAATATGTAATATACACCCTGCACAAGTCGCCGCATCATCACTCGCTAACACTCCCCTTGATGTGCGTGCGACGTGTGCGCCCTACACCGCCATACACAGACCCGTGATGAACTTGCTGTGCTTGTCTCTTGGAAGTGCCTTGGTGAATCTATCCGCGACCATTTCTTCTGTTGGCTTGAACTCTAGCGCGATCACTGCACTTGCAACCTTTTCACGCAAAAAGTGAAATTTGATGTCGATGTGCTTCGTGCGCGAGTGGTACACAGGATTCTTGGCCAACGCGATGCAACCTTGATTGTCTTGAAAAAATCGTCGTCGTGTTCTTGGCACAGTAGTTCAGGTCCTTGAGCAGACCTCGAAGCCAAACTGCTTCCTGCGTCGCGCTGTACAGACTCATGTACTCTGCTTCAGTACGTGAGGTCGCGACCGTTGGTTGACGCTTCAAATTCCACGATGTCACGCTTCCGTTCAGGAAGAAATCGTATCTTGTTGTCGAACGCCACGTGTCGAGGTCGCCAGCCCAGTTGGCATCCGCGAATCCGATCAGCTCTCCCTTGTTGATGCCGCTGAACACGATGCTTAAGTCTTGAGTCGTCTTGAGATACTTGAGAATCCGCTTTGCTGCTGTCCAATGCGACTTGTCGTAGCGCTCGCAAAAACTTCGCAACTTCGCCGACCGCATGCGCAATGTCCGGTCGTGTACATGTGGCGATGTACATTAAAGCGCCCACCAGCTCACGGTATGGGTACTTTGGTACAAACGCTTCCTCTTGACCCATCTTGATCAGCTTCGAGTTACTGTCCGCCGGCGTGTGCACGTCCTTGCAGTTTTCAACGCCAAACTTCTCCGAAAGTCGCTTGATGTACGCCTTCTGGTTCATCTTGATCGTTCCATCTTCGCGCTTGCGATGAATCTCGATCCTGAGGCAGTACTTGAGATCTCCAAGATCTTTAATGCTGAAGTCTTCCATCAATGAGTTCTTGATGCTTGCGATGTGCTCCTTCGTCTTGCAGGAAATCATCAAGTCGTCCACGTAGATCACGATGATGATGTACTCCTCTCTTGTCACTCGAACGAACACACACGGGTCCGCTGCACTGCTCTTGAACTCTTGATCATCCAATTGCTGACTCAACTTGTTGTTCCACTGCCGCGCCGCTTGCTTCGTCCCGTATAGCACCTTCTGCAGCAAACACTTCTTTTTCGGGCTTCCTTCATCTTCAAAACCGTCAGGTTGGTCCATGTAGATCTCCTCTTCCACTTCGCCGTCGAGAAACGCTGTGTCGACATCAACGTTTTCTGCTTCCAGGTCTTCAGCTGCAGCAATCGCCAACACTGTGTTGATAGATTCCTTGCGCGCCACTGGTGCAAAGGTCTCGTTGTAGTCGATGCCAGGACGCTGCGTGAACCCTTTCGCAACCAAGCGTGCCTTGAACTTGATGATCTTCCCACTTGGATCGCATTTAATCTTGAAGAACCACTTGCAGCCTACGGCCTTCTTGCCCGGTGGCATGTCCACTAGCTTCCATGTGCTGTGTTCTTCAAGCGAGTTCATCTCATTCTTCATTGCCTGCAGCCACTGCTACTTGTAGCCGATCTTCGTCACTTCTTGATAGCTGGACGCTTGTTCCCCATCTTCTTCACCTGAGAAACAGTAGAAAGGGTCGAAGTCACCTTCGTAGTCGTCCAAATTGAAGCGACCGCGACGATGGCTTCGAAGTTCTTGTTCGTAGCGAACCACGCCGCGCTTTTTTCCGAACCGGTCACACCATCCACTCTTCTTCTCCGTTTCTTCCGGGTGTGCTGGATGCGCGCGTAGGAATGGTGTCGCTTGGTCGATCACTTGGTCCGTCATGAGAGCTGTTCTGCGCTCGAAGTGGTGGGGTGCGTAGCTCTTCTTCGGTCACCGGCGCTGGTATGTCTTCATCATCGGGTAGCGACGCCTCCACACTTTCCTCTTCTTCAATGACATCGAAGACCCGCGTGTCTCTGCTTTTCGATGTTTTCGAGACAGAATGCTCAGAGAACGTGACGCTTCTTGAAATCACGATCGAGCCATCGTCCGCACTAAGAAGCCGATACGCCTTTTGATCCTTCGCACAGCCGAGAAAGAAACATCGCACGCCTGAGTCGTTCAGCTTCTTCCTCTTCTCCTTTGCCACATGCGCATAGCATTGCGCACCAAACACGCGCATGTGATCGACGCGCGGAACCTTCTTGAACACCATCTCGTGTGGGCTCGAGTTCTTGTTCGACGCGTTCGGCAGAATGTTTCTGATGTCTGCCGCTGTCATCAGTGCTTCGCATCAGTACGACTTGTCGAGGCCGCTTTCGTTGAGCATACAGCGCGTCATCTCCACCAGCGTGCGGTTCATCCGCTCCGCCATCCCTTTCTGCTCTGGGTTGTACGGAACCGTGAACTCTTGCTTGATGAACTTTGCCTTGCAAAAGTTGTTCATCGTTTCGATCCGGTATTCGCCGCCGTTGTCACTTCGCAACACCTTTATCTTCGTTCCAGATGCTGTCTTGATATCTTGGTAAAACCGCTTGAACGCACTCGCAACGTCGCTCTTCTTTCGCAACGGATAGACCATTACATACCTGCTCTTCATCATGATGAAGGTTACGGCTAACTGAAACCAGACTTAGACGCTGGCGTGATAGGTCCGAGAACGTCGAAGCACACCACCACGTCGGAACGCGAACTCTCCCTGGTTTCAGCGTCTTCTTCACTGGTCTTGAATGACTTGCGCACTTGCTTTGACGTTGCGCATACGTCACAAGCAACGTTCCTCTTCACCGCAGCGCCCTTGATCCGTCCTTCATTAACCATGGCATTCAGAGTACCATACGACACGTGGCCCAGTCTTCTATGCCATAGCTCAGTCTCGTCTTCGGCTATGTGGCACTCCGTACAATAGTCAGCATTGAGATACAGTAGGAAAAATCCTGCTTCCGTCCTGTTGCGACGGGTTTCCTGCCATGCTTCACCACGCACTCGTTGCGCGTTATCTCCACTGTCATGCCGCGCGCTGCTGCAGCCGTGAGCGAAAACAGGTTCTTGGACGAATCTTGAACGTGAAGTGTGTTCTCAAGGCGAGCGTCGACCCACGCATTCCCTGTCCAGACGCGCAGCTTCAATTTCCCATGTCCAATGACGTTCAGCTTCACGTCGCTTTTTGCGCTTGAGATACTTCGCGCATGATGCACTTCTTCGTAATCTTCGAACGCATCTCGATCCTTGCACATGTGTGCTGACGCCGCACTGTCCATGACCCAGCTGTCGCTCGCGAAACCTTCGCAGGCATTGAACGCGACGTTCGACTGGTCATGCTGGTGCTCCCTTGGCCCTCGACCGGAGCGACAATCTCTGGTGTAGTGTCCGACCTTGCCACAGTTGTTGCAGGTCCGTGATGGTCCTTTCGCGCGCCGTCCTTTTTGCTTCTTCGGGTACTGCTTACTCTTCCTCGTGCTTGTGTAGAGAGCCGGTGCATCTTCTACCCGTGCAGCCTCATTCTAGCGGACTTCTTTGGCGATCAACTTGCTCACGAGGTCACTAAAACTGAAGCTTGCGACGGACATGCGGAATGCATGTACCAAGCTCTCGAAGCTTGAAGGTAGACTCTGCAACAGTACTGCGCACACGTCTTCTTCACTTGGACCGCAGTTCGCGCGCTTCATCTTCATCACGAGGTCCTCCAGCTCCATCGCATGACCGCTTATGCTTGATGCTGCATACTTGAACGAGGCCAACAGTTCTTTCAGCCAATGTCGATTCGCCATGTCATGCCTGTGATGAAACCGCGCCAAATGTCCCCACACTTCTCTTGCAGTGGCCGAGTCGATGACATGCATCAGCTGCGAATCGCTCCGATTAAGCACGATCGCGGCGTGGGATTTCTGTTCCTTGGCCTCACTCATTGTCTCATCGCCCGCGATCGCGCCCCCACAGCCCCTTCGACATCAGGTACATCTTCATCTTGTAACTCCACAACCCATAGTTCAGCCGTTGAAGGGCTCGACCTTGAAACTGGAACCGTTGTTTAAGCTCATAACCTGTTAGAGTTAACTAGGTTGCGGAGCTGATGCTAACAAGAAGTGGCTTACGGCCGGGGATGAAAACCGAAAAGTGAGTTGTATCCAAATTGTTCCTAGGTCCAAAAGCGAATGGCTAGTAGCCGGTGGCTCTCAGCCACCTATATCGTGCCCTGTCTCCACCGGTACCTGTTTTACTTATCACTGGGTAATCACGTCTCGTAAATACCTTTCGTAAAAACTCTGCTGTGTCATATGCAGAATGTAAACGATTGCGTGGGTGGGGGACGTAACTGTGGGGGACGTAACTGCTGGTGAACCCCAAACACCAGGTCGTGAGTGTAAGTCACAATTAACTTAAACACGGCGGGGATAGAACCCGCACACACTGTGGATTCCCTCTTCCCAAACGACTTAGCCAATACGATACATCGTCATATCGCTAACATTCCACAATACAAACCTGCCAAAAAAAACAATGCAGCTAGTGCTAATACGCGAAATACATCATTTACAAGTCGCCTCATCACCACTCGCCAACAAATCAGTGAGAGAGGTTGCATTTTCTCCTTGCCGGGCAAACCTTGAAACGGGCAACCATACATTTACGTGGGTGATAATTCGCGTTGCAGATGTCTCAAATTCTGTAAGTAGTAGTTAAAAAGTGTTTGAGATACGGCATTCCGTGGCCTAGTGGATCCCCCCGATTCCTTCTGCTCATCCACATACTTAATCAGCCACGCCCATAATTGGCGGCTGTTAAACTCCTAGGTTGACGCGAGCGCTCAGTAGATGATGCTTGTGGGCGAAGTAGCAAAATCAAAAGTGAGTTTAATATTGTGTGTTATCTCTTATCTTCTGTGCGCTTACATCGTCGCTTGCTATCGATTCCTTTACATCTTTACCTAGCTGACCGTCGATTTAACGAACCAATCATCATTTATGGTCACGCTGACCATCTATTTTATTAACCAATCATTGGTCATTGTCGAGTTCCCTTTCTCTCTGATGTGTGTCACAAAGTCTTGGATCGGACAATGGTCAGAGAAGTGGGTACGTCACTGCCTGACAGGACAACGCTGGTGAACCCCATCACACCAAGGCCTGAATGCTTCACTTAACGGACGACACTGGGTCTCGAACGACCTCTGGTATACCTCTGCCTGTTAAAATCAAAAGTGAATTGTGTTATGCGTTGAATCACGTTCCTACCGTTGCCTATCATCTTTCCTGGTTCGTCCTTCTTTCCAACCGTTTTATCAAATCAGAGAATGTCTTTTCTCATGTTCTTTTCCCAAAAACGGTTCTTCCTTTCTCATGTTCCTTTCCCACAGAACGTTTTCCTTTCCGGTGACAAAAGTGTGGGTGTTTAACGCCACTCAAGAAAATACGAGCGACTGCTGGATCATGGACAGCGGCGAAACGGCACATATGTGCAAGGATAGAGACGCGTTTATTGAGTACGAGGAAACGTCGACAGCTCGCAACGTAAATAGCGCGAAAAACGATGCGAGCTTAAAGGTGCTTGGATAAGGCACGGTCGTCTTGCGTGTTTGGGACGGCACATTGTGGATAAACGCACGACTGGAGAATACACTTCACGTGCAATACCTCAACAAGAACCTGTTCTCGCTGACAGCAGCTACTGCGCGCGGGATGAAGATTGATATCAACAGTGCAGGGTGTATTGTATCCAAAAGCGGGCGAATCGTCGCAACAGGTGTGCGACGTGGGATGCTTTTAACACTAAATGTCGAAGAGGTTCCACAATGCCATGTGCTCGAAAACGAAGCTGAACCGTGGCGTCGCCGACTTGGACACGTGTCATACTCGACCGTGGACTATACACCTATGTACCATACAAAGCCTTGTTGAGCAGACATTTCTTGGGGAAAGGAACATGAGAAAGGACATTCTCTGATTTGAGAAAACGATAGGAAAGAAGGACGGACCAGGAAAGATGATAGGCAACGGTAGGAACGTGATTCAACGCATAACACAATTCACTTTTGATTTTAACAGGCAGAGGTATACCAGAGGTCGTTCGAGACCCAGTGTCGTCCGTTAAGTGAAGCATTCAGGCCTTGGTGTGATGGGGTTCACCAGCGTTGTCCTGTCAGGCAGTGACGTTCCCACTTCTCTGACCGTTGTCCGATCCAAGACTTTGTGACACACATCAGAGAGAAAGGGAACTCGACAATGACCAATGATTGGTTAATAAAATAGATGGTCAGCGTGACCATAAATGATGATTGGTTCGTTAAATCGACGGTCAGCTAGGTAAAGATGTAAAGGAATCGATAGCAAGCGACGATGTAAGCGCACAGAAGATAAGAGATAACACACAATATTAAACTCACTTTTGATTTTGCTACTTCGCCCACAGCATCATCTACTGAGCGCTCGCGTCAACCTAGGAGTTTAACAGCCGCCAATTATGGGCGTGGCTGATTAAGTATGTGGATGAGCAGAAGGAATCGGGGGGATCCACTAGGCCACGGAATGCCGTATCTCAAACACTTTTTAACTACTACTTACAGAATTTGAGACATCTGCAACGCGAATTATCACCCACGTAAATGTATGGTTGCCCGTTTCAAGGTTTGCCCGGCAAGGAGAAAATGCAACCTCTCTCACTGATTTGTTGGCGAGTGGTGATGAGGCGACTTGTAAATGATGTATTTCGCGTATTAGCACTAGCTGCATTGTTTTTTTGGCAGGTTTGTATTGTGGAATGTTAGCGATATGACGATGTATCGTATTGGCTAAGTCGTTTTGGGAAGAGGGAATCCACAGTGTGTGCGGGTTCTATCCCCGCCGTGTTCAAGTTAATTGTGACTTACACTTACGACCTGGTATTTGGGGTTCACCAGAACTGTGACCCACCCCCCCCGCAGTTACGTCCCCCACCTACGCAATCGTTTACATTCTGCATATGACACAGCAGAGTTTTTACGAAAGGTATTTACGAGAGGTAATCACCCAGTGATAGGTAAAACAGAAAACGGTGGAGACATGGCACGAAATAGGTGGCTGAGAGCCACCGGCTACTACTAGCCATTCGCTTTTGGACCTAGGAACAATTTGGATACAACTCACTTTTCGGTTTTCATCCCCGGCCGTAAGCCATCCTCCTCCTTAGCATCAGCTCCGCAACCTAGTTAACTCTAACAGGTTATGAGCTTAAACAACGGTTCCGGTTTCAAGGTCGAGCCTTTCGATGGCTCGAACTCTTGGTTGTGGAGTTGCAAGATGAAGATGTACCTGACGTCGAAGGGGCTGTGGGGCGCGATCGCGGGCGATGAGACAATGAGTGAGGCCAAGGAACAGCAAGCCCACGCCGCGATCGTGCTTAATCGGAGCGATTCGCAGCTGATGCATATCATCGACTCTGCCACTGCAAGAGAAGTGTGGGGACATTTGGCGCGGTTTCATCATAGTCGTGACATGGCGAATCGACATTGGCTGAAAGAACTGTTGGTCTCGTTCAAGTATGCAGCATCGAGCATGAGCGGTTATGCGATGGAGCTGGAGGACCTCGTGAAGCGCGCGAACTGCGGTCCAAGTGAAGAGGACGTGT